AAGGTTTTGCTCACTTATATAACATTCAAGGAATCGGTACGTACCTCACTGAAAACACAACACGTCTTCAAGGCCACGTTCAACTGTTTAGTGCTTTTGAAAGAAATAATCGCTGCCTATTTCGAGAATTCGAGGAAATGCATAAAACACTCTGTTGGTAATATGCAGATTCATCGAGTGTTAAAGAAGGTGGTTGCATGTAGTTACCACAAAGTTGTAGAGTCAGAAACTTATCTGTAGCCCGAATTACTATGGTGTGCGTGTGGGCAGCAAAACTTTTCGTAGCCAAGCTGCTCACGGACGAGGAAAGTCGACACTGTTTGTTTGAGATTGGTCACAAAAACAAGTGAGAATTATATTGCGCGTTATGCAATATTACTGGAATAGTCTGTAGAAACTACGGCAGTGATTACTTCTCCTGTGTTTATGTCTATGTACAGGTACAGTCCGCGACTGTAATCTTGAGACTTGCGGGGTGTGGAAGTGGGGTGAAGGAGGAGGGAGGAAAGATAGCGCCTGCCTTTGACGCTTCGGACTTCTTGCAAGTCTCAGGATTACAGTCGCGTGACATTACATAATCTGGTGATAATTACTTTATTTGGATGCTAAGTGTGTTTTGTCTCGAAATATTAATTTAAAAGTTATTTAAAGTGTTTTGGAAGCATGTGGAACACCTTTGTGCGATGTTTGGCCATGTTTCAGAACTGATCACTTAGAAACCAAACGCGTATCACGACTTTATTTGGATTCTTCTTAGCTTATCTGTTTCGGTGGATTTTCAAACATGAGTTTGGTTCTGAGGGATGAGGCGCATTACTGATTTTGATTTTATCACAGTTCAGACACCAGTCATCGGCTTTTGTTATCACCACCTCCACCACAGTGCGATAATTTTTAGGACTACCGTAAGAACTAATTCTGCGCGTCTAAGGTCCGCCACATTCATGGTCTGTGTTGAATTTCTCCAAACTTCTTTCATCATTACTTGCCTTCCTCACCATAGCCGCGTGATTTTCACATTTTCCACGGTAGTCTAGCGGTTAGAACGCTGGCCTAGTAATCCTGGAGTCTCGGGTTCGATTCCCGGCGGTGCCCGAATTTATAACTTGTGTTGGGCAAGGCCGTGGTCTAGGCAACACGGAATTTTCCTCCGTGGCATCCCAACAATTACTCCATTCACACACAGAAGAAGGCAATGGCAAACCACTTCTGGATCATCTGCCAAGAACGTATATGAACAGGTCCCAGGCCGAGAAGAGAAAAGGATGGAAGGAGCCTGTTCATATGGACCTGTCGTCAGACAGAACAATAAATAAAAAAAAAATTACCTGTCTTACCACAAATTAACTCGAAGCCTAAAATTCCATTGTCCCAAATTATCACTTCTTACCATTCTAAGACTTTAATTGTCATTGTTCTTATCATAAGGACGAGTGAACGAAGCCTTTGAAACTTAAAAAGAACATTAATTTTATCTATTAGAAATAAAGACTCTTTTACTTGTTTCAATTATTTTTGTATCTGTTCAGTGTTGCCAATGATTTCTTTGTAAACATATTACAGGAGATGTCGTTCCGGTTACTAAGCTCTGCCGTGACAAGCAGTCGTTGAAATGATGGTTAATTTCCGTGCGGGGCAAATGTTCTCCAACTTTGTTTTCATTCATCGTTAAAACTTTAAATTCGTGACGTGTAGACATGGCGCCTTGCGGTCTGCACACGTCTAGTTTGCGTTCCTAAATCTGCCGTCTTAAATAAACGCTACAAAGCAAGAGTCCTCTTCGAGGATCAACTCAAAATATTACAGAAATTTTCTGGAACCCGTAAGGTCAATGCCGTTCTTATAAGAACCCGCTGTTATATCTTGTCCAGAATCAGATAAATTTAGTGACGTTTGAGGTTTCCCCGAAGCTGAGTCTGAAGATGGCTGTCTTCTGGGTCGTAGCGTTGTGTAGTCTGGTAGAAGTTCAACGACGTTTCTGAGTACTCACTGCAGCCATCACCATTATAAACATATTATTATTATTATTATTTTTATTTAGTGTTCTGTCTTATGACAGGTCCATATGAACAGGATCCTTCCATCCTTTTCTCGGACTGGGACCTGTTCATATACGTTCTTGGCAGATGATCCAGAAGTGGTTTGCCATTGCCTTCTTCTGTGGGTGAATGGAGTAATTGT